CAGTTATGGTTTAAACCCACTGGAAGCACATCGTTTTTCAAAACAATGAAAATGCTGAGATCAATTTCCATCTACTGTGTATGAACTGGAAATGTGGTCGGATACTTCCCTTCAATGACTCAGTGGTTGGCTTCAGGCTGATCTAGTTGCCAAAGAAGGAATTCTCTCTTTGGTGAAGGCATAAAATACCAGAAAAGAAAAAGTCTGTTATATTTGGTCCTGGCTATGAATGTTATCTGTCAAACAGTCACAGGCTATCTGACAATTGAGGGAGCAGGAAGGTGTTGAGAAAGCGAGCTCTTCCTTAAATCCCAGGATGTTTTTTTTTCTCGTCTCTTCTCAGCAGCTTTTGTCGCGGCCGCCCATCCCCTCCCACCAGGTTCCCCCCTACAGAGCAGTGTCCGCCAGGTTTCGACCCTCCGTCCTCTCCCAGAGCACCCCCATCGGACTGGACCGCGTTGGACGGCGTAAGCTCCACAGAATGCTCAGCGGTGAGAACGCGGGGTTGTTGTCGATCACACATTTTAGCCTGTGGGAAAGCAGAGTCTGGGAATGTCAATAAGTGTGTTGGAGGAGAATGTGGGTGTGCCTCCATCTGTGGCTTGTTTTCTGAATGATTTAGATCTTGTCAGAACGTTATCAGCTCCATACTTATTTATTTTTAACCTCTGTATATGTGTTGCAGATGGTTTGTCTGAGTGCTCGACGACACTTGATGACAGCGTGAGTGAGGAGGAGGAGGGCAGCTTTGACGAGCTCACTGATGTCACGCCCTACCTCCAGTCGGGGGTGGAGCTCTCTGTGCTCAACGAGGTAAAGCCGAGGAGGGGAACATGTCATGTTGCACCACTCGAACATCTTCTCCCAAAGATGTGTATTGAATTCATGATGAAACCTTTAATCGCGTTGTATGCGTGCCTCGTGAACGGCCATGTGAAAATGTTTTCAAGCTGTTTGACGGAACAGACGACCACCGCAGTGTCCACAAGTCTAGACATAATCGTACATGTTAGACACGGGCTTAGCCGGCATGTAATTGTATTTCTATCTTATCTGTGTGTGTTCCTCTCAGTGGATAAGCTCTGGCAACACGGTGTATGCTGAGGCTCTCTGGGACCATGTGACCATGGAGGAGCAGGAGCTGGCCTTCAAGGCTGGAGATGTTATCCGTGTCCTGGATGCCTCGCATAAGGACTGGTGGTGGGGCAGGGGGGCTGACAAGGAGGCCTGGTTCCCCTCCAGCTTTGTGAGGGTAAGTGGACTTCCTGACCTACGTTGTCTAAACGCACGTTTGCTCTCCAGCAGCACAGGAAAAGACCCGCAAACGGGCTTAGCTCCTAACAACCCTCACCAGCCCTCATCAGTGTGTGTGGAAGGGTTCAAACCTCAGAGGTTCAGCTGGTTTCTGTGGTGACCAGAGCTGATTGACAGTTGAGTCTTAATTAGGCAGGCTATGGTAACCACGGTGAGATTATTTGATTGGCAGATGGTCAATCAATGTTGCCGAACAAGAGAACAACTTGTGTAACATGTAAACATGTTACCTTAGTGATGTGGAGCTTTCTGTAGTTTAACTAGTTATTGTTCTATCTTTTGTAATAGTTTTTATTTTGCTAAGGAGCTTTCATGAAAAGCAAAAAATATGTCAAGAGTCATATTTGTTTGGCCATGTGTGGGGACTGGAAAGAAGATGTTTGGAAAACTAATCCTGACTGAAACCGATTTATTTATGATTTGAATGCTGCTCCGGAGATCCCATTGTGTGTGTGTGTGTGTGGTGGATGTGTTTCAGGTGCGGGTGAACCAGGAGGACTCGAGTGCAGAAAGTGTGGAGAGTGTAGCGGACCAGGAAGATCCAGCTCCCAGGGACACACACAGCCCTCAGCACAAGGAGCAGATGAGAACCAACGTGGTTCAGGAAATCATGAATACTGAACGCATCTACATCAAGCACCTAAAAGACATCTGTGAGGTCAGAGCTGCAATGTTTACATCTCGGGCTGCTGCTTCTCTATACATGATTCACACACTGCTCTTACGCTGACCTACGTTCCAATAAAGTTCAACTTTTTTTTTTTAGAATATTTAGCGTAAGCTACATTTTCAGAAATGACTTTTCTCTTTAGCTCCTCCTGTTGCCCAGTGTTTGAACTGTTTCCGTACCTTCTGTGGAGTCAGCGATCTGGTTTTGTAAAACTTCCAGGGTTACATCCGTCAGTGCCGTAAACACCCGGACATGTTCACTGAGCTGCAGTTGAAGACCATCTTCAGCAACATAGAGGACATCTACAGGTTTCAGAGGCAGTTTCTCAGAGACCTGGAGAAGAAGTACAACAAAGACCAACCGCATCTCAGTGAAATCGGCTCTTGTTTTCTCTTGCAGGTAGGCAACCCCACACAAAACCTTTCCCAATTCAACTCATTCATTTACCTGATTTAGTAGTTCCACATTTTCATTGAATCTATCTTCTTTTGTCCTAAGGGAGAGGGCTTCTCTATCTACTCCGACTATTGTAACACTCATCCAGTAGCCTGCGCTGAGCTGCAGCGCCTCATGAAGTCGGGCAAATTCAAGCATTTCTTTGAGGCCTGCCGGCTCCTCCAGCAGATGATCGACATCTCCATTGCAGGTTTCCTGCTCACGCCCGTTCAGAAGATCTGTAAATATCCCCTGCAGCTAGGAGAACTGCTTAAGTACACCCCCAAAGACCACAGGTACTGGATATTCATTACTTCACGAGTTATACTACTCTTTTACTACTTGCGCTTATTGTACATTTTGAGCATCTATTTATTTACACATTCTGGTGCACGCAAGCAAAGATGGCAACTTCACTGCACTCCAGCCTTCACCATTATTTTCAAGCCATCTACTTCAGGACCCAATGATGCTTGTTGCTATACAGACATGTAATTCTACAACAAGCCCATTTTATGACATCTTATACCTTGAATCAATGAAACTCTTGTCTGTAAAGCATTACTTTACCTTGGCTGTACAATGAAAGCTGCATGCTAATAGCTGCATGCTAATAGCTGCAATGATATGTACAGTGTTTGTGGCCTAGCATAAGCTAACCAATTAACCAATCCAATAATCATTCATTCATTCACTTTAAATAATGGAATTCATGGTTTGATAACTTACTTTGTCCATGATTGTGATTGAACTACTATAAATGGAAATGTCCTCTCTATCAATCTAATGTGCACGGTGGACCCTATGCTCATTGTTCCTTTGCTGATTTATTGCAGTGACTACAGCGGAGTGAGCAAAGCTTATGAGGCCATGAAGAATGTGGCCAGTTTGATAAATGAGAGGAAGAGGCGGCTGGAGAGCGTCGACACCATCGCTCACTGGCAGGTGGACATTCTACACTGGGAGGTGATGAGAGCTAATCAATATTCCTCCTGTTGTACTCTGGTTATTAATCAAATGTAGTGTATATGTTTTACCGCCCTTCGGTGAAGAATATTAAATATATTTGATAAATGTTTTTGACTGTACTTGTATCTGTATAAACGTGCCGTTGCAGGGGCCCGATGTGCTGGAGCGCAGCTCAGAGCTGATCCACTCTGGGGAGCTGACTCGAGTCGTCCGACAAGGCAAAATGCAACAGCGCAGCTTCTTCCTGTTTGACCACCAGTTGGTCTTCTGTAAAAAAGACGTCCTGCGCAGAGACCTGCTCCACTACCGTGGACGGCTGGATATGGACCAGACCGAGGTTGTGGATGTACCCGATGGGCGGGACTTAGACCTGGGCCTGACCCTGAGGAATGCTCTGCGCCTGCGCCACGCCTCCACGCTGGAGTTTGTGTGTGTGCTGTGCTGTAGGAAGGCCCAGGACAAGCAGAGGTGGTTACAGGCCTTTGCCAAGGAGAGATACAGAGTCAAAGAAGACCAAGAAATGGGTGAGTCGAGAAATTCCTTTCATTCATGACGCAAAACTGCTACTGTGGGTAGATGTCAAGTAAAAGGGGAACAAGGTGAAGCGACTGTTGGAAGAAAGGGGGTGGCTGGAAATATTTTGACGTGTGTGTGTGTTGGCAGGAATGGAAATAAGTGAAGAGCAAAGAAAACAGGCCATTGTTAATGCCAGAAGAGCCAAACAGAAGAAGAGCAAAAGTAAGGAAATGTTTTACTTAATGCCGCTCTTCATTTACATTTTATCAAATTTCTATCTTCATTTTTATTTCCATTCTTAACTTTTATTTTTTGTCTTTTTTCCATTCACCATGTAGACATTGGTTACTCTGGTTCTGTCCCACCACACCACCAAAACCTTCACCCACTTCACCAGCGTCACATCACCATCCCAACCAGCGTGCCTCAGCAGCAGGTCTTTTCACTGGCCGAGCCCCCAAAACGAAAGCCTCATCACCTGTTGTACAGCATCACCCGCAATGCCTTTTTCAAGAAATGAAGCTCTTTCTCCCTCATCCCCCCCCCCCCCGTGCATGTTCAGAGCACGTCCAAACCATCCTGAAGTCTCAAAAGAACACTTAAATATGTTTTTTCCTGTGAATGTCAAATTACGTTTTTGTGCCACATGAGTTTTTCTCTGTGTGTTTGATTTTGTTGCATCATGAAGTTCAGTGCCTCGGAAGGGGCTTGTCTAAAGTGTTAAAATACTGACTCTGTATTGTGTTGCCGTGAAGATGCTGCTCACTCAAGAGACTCCCAACCCCCTTTTCTCTTATAAATCCCAACTGAAAGATTTTTTAAATGTTAATTATGACAATGTATATTCTGCTTTTACGCCGACAAACATGGTTCTAGTTTATCTCACAGAGGCTGGACCCTTTTTTTTTTTTTTTTTTGCTGCGAGGCTGTCAACTCTGAGCACAAGATAGACGAAGGATAAATTAACTGACACAGTCACCTGCTTTGTTAACACTGTAAATAAAACTCTTGTACAAACATACCGAGTGAGAACGTTGTCACTTTAAGATTTTGTTTTTTTCTCCAGTTGTTTGTTCCTTTTTTATTGCAGAGCAAACCCGGTAGACTTTGTTTGTGGTGGTTGAATATTAGTTCCAATGAATTAGATCGAAGGCAACGATAGGAGTTAATGAATGAAACATTAGCCATAGGACCGGAGGAGGTACGTCGCCGTCAGCGAGCTCCCCGTTTCTCCAATGCCAGGATCTGGTTTCACTCGACTGTGCATCCAAACAATGCGCTGTGTGGCTCTACGCGGTTTGTTGCCGTTTTTTATATAAGGCGGTTTTTGCTGAAGGAAAAAAAGAATGGATCTTAAAACCCGGAAATCAGGAATTAGATGATAGAGGCTTGAAGGGATGCTTGTGTCATGGGCACAGAGCACGAGGCCAACGAGAATACAAGCGGAGATGACGATGCATCTCAACTGCAAGCTGCCAGTGTAAGTAAGATGTATCTTAATGTGGGGTTATTATTCTAGAAGTACCGTAACTTAAACTACAACATTTTAAATCTTAATTTTAATCGGTTAAATCCTTTTGGCACATTTTAATTAGGAATACAGCCAGTCCTCCAGATGAAAACCTGGAGATTTGAGGGGACACAACATCAAAACCTTCAACACCTTTTGTCATTGATTAAATGATTAAATGTGTAAAATAGGGGAATCTATATCCCACTAACTTGTGATGGATTATGTGCCGCTTGCACAGTATGGGATGACACTGAATGAATAATATATGTGCATTGGGTAACTCAATGAGAGCCGAGCGCTGCATCTGATGGAGTTACCGTTGCTGTCGGGCTTTCTTCTCAAGCCAAAGTGACTGGTAATGGAGCGTCATTACTGGTAGACTCGGGCTTACGTCACTGTTGGCAGATCAACAGCTAAATGTGATGGCTTTGTTTACCTTTATGAGCATTGATGTTTTTTCAGTGCATGCTGTGACCTTGTGCTATTTGAACACTTGCCCACTCATGTCTCTGTGCATTCTGGATTGATTAGCATATTGTTCAGCCTACTGTAATCTAAACTAGCTGACCTGGATAAGGTACAGTGATAAGAGATGAATGGTAGAAGCAAGGTTATGTGCTCTTGATCTTTTTCCAGTAATTTAACCTCCTCGTGGTCCTCGAAGTGCTCTCTTGTGCCCCTTTGTCCCAACACTGAACCTGGTGGCAGATCTACAGTGTCAAGAGACTTGTGCTTTACATATCATTTCAGCATCATTAACCGCATCCCTATTAGAATCCACACAGATTGAAAAGGGCAAGTCAAATTGACTGCCACCGCGATGGGCGCTTTGCATTAAGAGTGTGAATGTGTCCTCCCTCCCTGGCTTGTAGATTGCAGATGTGTCTGTGGAGGTGGCCACAGTTGACCACACTCTGCGGAAGATCTACAGGAAGTTCAGGAAGACGAGACGGAAGCCCAAGGGACTCAAGTGGCTGCAGGCCCGTCTGCTGAGCATCCCTCACCTGGCTGTCATCATCGCAGCGGTGGTGTGTGTGGTGGTGATTATCATGTGGTCCCTGCTGTGGGTCTTCATATGTAAGTGAGAGGATTCTTATACTTAAGTCCCATATTAATATCTTTATAGTTGTTTGATTACAAGACTGCATCAAAGTGGAACTTCACCGTATAATGCAAGTTTTGACTTGATTTAATTAGTTCGCAGGGAGAGCAACAGTGGAGCGTATTTTGCCGGTGTGTTTCGTGTTGCCAACGTGGAGTTTATCCCGGAGTACCGCCAGGCAGAATCCCATGAGTTTGTGTCCATGGCAAACAAAATACAACACGTGGTACGTATTGATGTAACCCTGCTATTTACCTGATGGTTAGTGCTAAACCAGGATCTGAGAGACTCTTACAGTTAATTGCTGGTGTCTCGTAGGTGAGCAATGTGTACAAGGTGTCCTCAGTGGCCAGACTCTACAAGCAAGCTGTCATTTCAGACCTCAGGTACGGTGGGCCTGTTAGCCATCATCATCATGAAGCAAAAAGACGTCCAGCTGATATTTATGTTTCGCTTTGTGCTTCTGATTCCAGTTTCAAGCATCAACACTTATTTACGGCTGAGCGACACACCCTGTTTTTAAAGTGTTGATGTAAACCCTATTTTTCCTCACACAGTAACAACAACAAGGGCGGTGTGCTGGTTCACTTCTGGATGGTGTTTGTGGTCCCTCGATTAAAGAGCCCAGCAGTGTGTGAGGAGTGTGTGGAAGCCATTTTCAGAGACTCGGTCCACACCAGCCTGATGAACAGGTCCTCCGTAGGCTACCTGCTGGGTCTCCCAGTAGATATAGACTCCATCCTCATCAATGGTGCGCCAGTGTGTTTACATGTGCATCCTAAAAGTGTGTATCAATGCAGAGACTGATTATTGTGTCTTCCTCCAGCTGTTCAGCGATCAGATTATTCATCATATGGAGCAGGTAAGAGATGATACTTAAGTGCAATAAAAGTTACACTGTATGTCATAATGTGTGTCCCTGAAGGTTTTTTCTCCTCCCAGGCTCACAGTGTGTAGATAAACTGTATGCCAACCTTCCCGGGCTGAGCGTCCCTTTAAACGTCTTCTCGTCATGGGGTGGTGTGAACTGCCATGTAAAACTCACCGCTGTCCCCGGCTCTATGATCCGTCTGACCGTCACCTCCTTCCTCATTGAGCCCAGCGACTGTGTGAATGATGCCCTGACTGTGTACGACGCCCTGCTGCCCATGAGAGGGCGCATTCTGCACAGGTCTGTTTTTCCACATTATTAGCAATTCCAAAGGCTTTTATTCCAATTCGTCACTGTATTTTCTCTAAAACATAAACCTTACATAAACTAAAGTGTGTCTCTGTGCTGCAGGATGTGTGAGCCAGTGTCCAACTCATTCTCCCTGGTGTCTACCTCCAATGTCATGCTGCTGTCCTTCAGAATGACCAACGGCAACAAGAGCTTCAGAGGACACTTTGAGGCCATTGTTAAAGAAAGTATGACACATTTACCTTGTTACTTTATATGCCTGGGGTTGTGTGTGTGATCCCTAAACACATGTCTATGCGCCGTGAACAGAGTAATCTTAAGAGACCTTAAGGGGATAAGACTACCTATGGTTTCCGTAGAATAATAACATTGTTTTGGGTATAAGAAAGATGTCTTTGATTCTCCCCCGTTTCATTTTTCATCTTCGCACCCCTGAGATTTATCTAGAGACCACTTTGGGATTCACTGGCGGTGAAAGTATAATCCTTGAGTCTGTCTCTGTCTCTCTCAGTGTGTATGTCTCAAATTGAGACCCAGTTAGAGCCTGGCATCACTGGTCAAATCTACAGCCCCTTCCACCCCAGCCTTCTGCCCCCACAGTGCTTCTGCACCTGGAAGTTCGAGGTAGAGCACACACACATACATGACTTGTAAAACTGCGGCTGAGTTTTTCTTTACTGGTGATTTCAAATAGCTTTTATTGATTGTGTACTCTGTACTTTTTCTAGACCCCCAACAGTGCTTTAGGAGTTGCTCTGCAGTTTCAGAACTATGTATTGAAACCAAAGGAAGTGAAGGGCTGTGAACATGGCTGGTGGAAGGTCAATGAAATCATGTATGTGGGCATAGGGTTAACACTCAAAACTAAATTTACACTGTATTCAAGACACAAGTATTTCAGGTAATTGTGTCCATTTTTAGAAATATCTACAATCATAAACGCTGTCTGATGATATATTATTTAGCCGTTAAGTTATTTCTTACATTGATGTCAATTCTTATTCATCCCATGACAACACCCTGTGATGGTTGGTTAATGGTTGCTTTCCCTCCCCAGTTTCTGTGGCAGCTACGTGGGACACCACACGGTGTTTCGGATCGCTGACCGCAGCCCAGAGGTGGAGTTTCGCTGCAGCTCACGTAACTCTGCTCAGCCTTTCCAGGCATCCTACAGCAGCTACAATATCAGCCAGCGTAAGCACTGCCAGGCCCAGAGCCCGACTCATTATAACAGCCAGGATACACTGTAGGAAATGACAGATCATAGGTGTTTCATTGTGCTTCAGTGTGGATGTGAGTTCATGACTTTGTTTGTAGATTCTAAAAATTACAATCTGTTTTACAGAGAGAAAACATTTTGTGTCATTCACATAGTTTTGAGCGGCATAAACACAGAAGCGCCTTGTGGTGTTTTTAGTCACTAGAGTAGAAATAATGCAGCAAAAGCAATTTTTGTCTCTTTTCCCGCTCCTGTGTGCACCAGCCTGTCTGCAGAGTCACTTCCTGTGCTCCACAGGACTGTGTGTGGAAAAGAGTCGCCGCTGTGACGGCCTGGACGACTGCCAGGATGAGAGTGACGAGGTCTTCTGCTGTAAGTTGTCCTATATAAGTTACATAGTACTGGTTGTCTAAAAGAAAAAAAATGGCACTGTGAAGTACTGGTAACACATTACACTGTCTTTTGATTGTATTTGGAATCAAGTCACACATTGGAAAAATATTACATATCTTCACAGCGAGGCCGACAAAGAACTGCGGTGGTAACAGCCCTCTGCATCCTTTGTTTGTGTGCAACGGAGAGACGGACTGCACCAATGGAATAGATGAGATCAACTGCACTCAGGGTAAGAATCTTTACAGTTAATCTGTGTCCCCTTTTTACCCTTTAACCAGTAATAATTGCCATAATGTTCTCTGCTTTTGTCAGAAACAACCTGCTCCGCAATCAGGTATCAATGCAACAGTGGCTCCTGCATCTTGAAGAAAAATGCAAAGTGTGACGGTGTTCTTGACTGTCAGGACCACAGTGATGAGGCTGACTGTGGTGAGCGCTCTGCATTACCTGCTCCATGTGCACATCTTGAAGTGGCAACATAAAGAAAGGAAAATCAATATCATTTTATATTTCTGTATCCACCCCTTTTTCTAGTAATAAATCTTGCACCTTGGTTCTTTTAAAATGTCAACATGTCAACAAATTTTGAATAACTCAACTGTTCTGGCCTCCATCATTTGACATTTTAACATCCAGTTCCAAACAAATTATGGAAGTAAGATGATGGTAACATGCTGTTTCCTCCACCCTTTTATCATCTTAATTGTTTACCTTACTATCAGCGTAATTGTAGTCTGTCAGGAACCTTTCTTAAAGTTGCTTTTCACTAAAATGAAGACCAGTTAAATGATTTATCAACTAAGCCAGGATCACACACATTTGGTTATGTTCCACCTGAGTTGTTGGCTCATAATGAAGCAACTGATACTGATTATAGTGCCGCTACACTGCCAGTTCTCTGCCAGATCCTTCATGTGGCTTCATGAGAATGTTGTCGTTATTTTATAATCTACTGGGCAGCATGCACCAAACCTGCTGACCTGCAGCACTGAGGTGACCCAGCTGTAATGGCTCTCTCTGTTCGCTGTTATTTCATCATAATGGGGTCTCAAGGTGATCACTCACTGATTCGGGACAATAATGTACATGCACACACACACACACACACACACACACACACACACACACACACACACGTCAAAGCTCTACTTTTTAATAAGGCGGCAGCAGTCATGGTGATGACTCAGTATGTCAGCATAATAGTAATAACATTGCTTTGTCTCTCGTTGGGGGATTTCTAATACACTGCACATGTCCATATATGTTGTGTCCAGTATAATATAACGAGTATAACAACAGTATCCATCTCTGTGCTCCTCAGCCTGTGGTCGTCCCTCCTTGGTGAAGAACATTGGTTCATCTACAGGACAAGAGCGTATCGTAGGTGGAGATAACTCTGTGGAGGGGGAGTGGCCGTGGCAGGTCAGCCTCCACTTCTCTGGTAACCTGTACTGTGGTGCTTCTGTCCTCTCCTCTGATTGGCTCATCTCAGCAGCACACTGCTTCAGCAAGGAAAGGTCAGTCACACTCACTCCTATATTTGAAATATAGAGCAGCAGGCCTACTCTTACGGATACCATTCTTTAAAACTTGTCACCCCTTAAAACACTGTAAATGTACTTGCAAACACCCATCACATGTCATGCCTTTGTGTGGACACGAGTTGCGAACATGTACATGCATAATATTAGTTAATCTGGCAATCATCAAGTATAAGGCTTCCGGGCCATAGTATTGATTTTATGAACAAACCTGTCACTGATCTCATCTGCTTTCAAGTTTTATTAAAGACATTATGATCTACATCTGTCTCCCTCTGATGACCCTTGACCTCTGACTCCACCAGGCTGTCTGACCCACGTTACTGGAATGCCCACCTCGGCATGCTGACACAGGGCAGTGCCAAACACGTGGGGGAGATCCAGCGGATCGTGGTGCACGAGTATTACAACGCGTACACGTTCGACTATGACATTGCCCTGCTGCAGCTGAAGAAGCCCTGGCCTCCCTCCCTCAGCCCGCTGGTCCAGCCTGTGTGCCTGCCACCTTCCTCCCACACTGTCACTGACAGCCATCGCTGCATTGTCACCGGGTGGGGATACCGCTCTGAGGAGGGTGAGCAACACCTTGGTCACCACAGTGACTTTTATACTTGAATACAACCATGATGTCCTTTAGGGGGGTTTGTCTGACGGGGCTAGTTTATGCAGTGTTCTATAAACATCATTGTAATAATGCAGTAAGTAATATAAACTTAATGTTACATACAGTATTTAGATACATGCTCCTGTGCTGCTTTTCTCCAGCTCCATTTAGGATGAGAGCCTCTTTATGAACTCCTGCACTCTTCATGAGCTACTGCTAATGTCAGCTTAAAGCAGCCCAGATGTGTATATATTCATATCTGTCATTTGCATGATCTACGTCCATCTTGCCCCCCTGCAGACAAAGTGCTGCCCTCAGTGCTGCAGAAAGCAGAGGTGTCCCTACTGAGCCAGACTGACTGTAAGAAGAGCTACGGACCTGTCTCATCCCGCATGCTGTGTGCCGGGGTCCCCTCTGGAGAGCGTGACGCCTGCAGGGTGAGCTCACATCTGACTGAATCACCCATAATTACCTGCGCTTTAATTTATACTGGTGGATGTGAAGCTTTGAAAGTTGCCGTATACTTGTTTCATGTTCTTTCTGCATCAACTGCACTTTTTGTTTCTCAGGGCGATTCAGGAGGTCCTCTGTCCTGTCAGGGACCGAGCGGGGGTCGCTGGTTCCTGATTGGCATCGTCAGCTGGGGGGCGGGCTGTGGCAGACCAAACCTGCCTGGGGTTTACACCAGGGTCAACAAGTTCACCTCCTGGATCTACAGCCATATCAGCTGACATGATGAAGCTCTTATTCATCCAGTGCCAGCAGATGTTTAAATATTCTGTCGCTCACACCAAATAATAAAAGCATCATCAGTGTACTGTGTATTTATTCAAGAGCAATGTTTGCCTTTTATGTGTTATTCATGTGACTCAGGTATACACCCCCAACTAAGCAAACAGGAAGTGCTTTTGAATGATTTTATTCTAATAAAGTATCTTAGCTGCATTCCTCCCTCCAATTCTTGGACTATAAACCCATGTTATAATAATAATAATAACTTTATTTATATAGCACCTTTAAAAACATAGTTTACAAAGTGCTTTGACAGACAAAGCAGCAAAAGCAAGGCAGCAATAACAATAACACTGTTACACCCTGTTATGTCCTGTTGCACCCTCACAGCTGTCAAGTTTGGTGCCAAACTTTCTATTTGCAGGTTGTCATTGAGCCCCCATGGAGCATCCAAGGGTCCAGCAGCCGAACCCAATTGTTATACCTCGCACACGTTTCCATCAAGCACCCCTTTGTGCCTCCCAGCTTTACTCTCGCATACACAGCGAGGAAGTTTGCCCACAATATCTGCCCCACTGATGGTTGTGGGGATGGTAGGCTTAGCCCTTCATAGTGCTCTCATTGTCCCCCGCGCTGCATTCTGGGGCTCCGTGTGACACCTGCCGCCCAGTTCAGGTAAACGGGAGGCGGTGAATGCCCGCCGCATCCGAGCCGCTCAGGTCGGATTTCTGCGCTTTTTTTTTTTTTTTTTTTTCAAAGGAAGCGACAGTGGGGGTTTCCTCTCTCTCTCTCCATCGTTTCTATGCCTGAGGTATTGTTGCATATCGCCTCTCCGGAGCTAAACGGGACAGTGCTATGAGGACTCTCCCCAAAAGAAAAACTTGCGAAGTGTACTGCGTCTCCGGGCATGGACTATCAGGCTGCTCCGCTGCACAGGTAAGGCACCATCAGTGTGCTCTATTAATTGCGCGTAAAGGGCATTTGTGCCAAACATGACTTTGCTTTCTGCGAGAACTGTTCTATGTGTATACAACGACATTTGTCAGTTTAACTTTTTTTTGGCAAAAGCAAAATGATGCACAATAACCAGAACCCATCAAACCCAGTCAGCCACGGCTCATCTTAATTGCGAAATCTGTCTCTAGCGGTATGTGGGTGTCTTTCTCACATCACCATGTCCACATCAGGGTGAGACACTTGATTGAGTGCTGACACCGCAGAGCCAGGCCGTGGGAAAGCAGACTCGTCTAGCCACGCTTTGTCTGCTCCCCCGGGGAATCCTGCCAACCCCTTAAATGTTTTAGGAGTTCCTTTCAGCTCCGAGATGCTCACCGTTACTCTCCCTGAATCAGTGGCTGCTCAGCCATTAAATCGATGTCTCATTGAGTTTGGCAGATAGGCTGCTTTTTCTTTATTGCCGTGCACACAAGAGTAAAATGCAAACAATTAGAAGCAACTTGAGCGCAGACATTAAAAGCCGGTATGATATTTGAGTCATGCCCTTGTCTCTGAAAGGGAGAGGGGGAGGTGAAGGAGCCCACCCAGTCACTGGGCCCCCCCACGAAGCCTGAGGGCCAGGAGGAGCAGAAGGTGGAGGGGGGGCGAGCTCCGGTCTGTGGCTCCTGGAGGAGATGGATGTTGGTTCTCCTGCCTTTCTTTCCCTTCGCTGCTGCCATTGCACTGACTCTCCACTTCCTAACATGTGAGTAATGACCTGCTTTTCTCCTGTCCTTAAAATGTGTTAATTGTGACTTATACCCGCAGTCACACAAGTGCACCTGTCTCAAATCTCTATACCTCCTCCTCTCCAGCTCCGCCCTCCTCAGTGTTCTTCCTCGGTGGCAGTGTGGAGTTCCCAAACCTGAGCTTCTCCTCAGAGCTGACTGACTCCACCTCTCCTCAGTTCCGCCTGCAGGCTCAGGCTTTGAACCATTATGTAAGTGGAACGATGGACTTGTCTGTCATTGCCTCCCCTCTGAATGACACGTTAGAGTGCTGCTTGACCTTCCCGCTCTCAGCTGAAGCTGATCTTGCTGTTCAAACGTTGATATGGTTCACTGCAGCAGGCTACTAGTGTCTTTAATGTTGGGCTTTCAAAACACCGCTGTCCTCTTTCTACTTCCCATTAATGTCTTTGCATTCTTATTTGTTTCCTTTTCTCTTTATTCGGCTTTGTCCTCTACTCTCTTTCTCTCTGTTTTTTTTTTCTGCACCACTTTTCTCCCCTCTGTCCCTCTCTCTGTCTCTCTCTGGTGGTGTTAAATGTAAAGCTGAAACAGGAGCTGGGCACTGTGTGTGTGTGTGTGTGTGTGTGTGTGTGTGCAAGTTCCCGAGACCCCCAGGGACAGGGCCCTTTCAGGGCTGAGGACAAGCCTGGCATTTGTGAGTCCAGCTAGGCCCAGGCAGCAAGAGTGAGAGGAAGAGCAGGCCTTCAATAAAAACATTGTCTGTGTAGCTTTCACACAATCAGCCACTCTGTGTGCCGAACACTACAGAGAGGAGGTGAACCTCAGTTTGATGCTGGGGGTTGAGAGGGAGAGACAGGACAGTAGGGCAGGGTGGGATGACAGAGGGATTCGGGGCTGGACAGAGATACGAGAGGGGGGATTTGAGATTTTAGAGCAAAGGGTCAGATGCTCGGCCGAACATTCTTGCTGAGCAGTGGAGAAATGGCAAGTTGATGGGTGTAAATCCCCCAAACTCTACACTGACATAGTGTAATGCTCCTTTAGTCAGCTGTGAGGGTGAGTTAGCAGGCTTGTTAAGTGGTCATAGTATCTGTACAGCCATCTGTTCATTAAAGAACAGGTGAAGTCAAGGCCAGGAGCCCATACCTTCCAGGGTCCTAACTCTACACGGCCGGCAGGTAGAGACACAATGGAGCTCTGTGCTGTTCAAAGTCAAAATACACACAAGCAGAGGTTGATACACACACACAAGAACAATGCTTTTGTTGAACTCAGGCGTGTTTGACCAGGTGTGTTCATGTGTTACAAGTGAAAAGTGACCTCACTTGCACCGCTGTGATGTCACACCTATATGTGGTAAACCATCCTTTTTTGTCTTTTTTTAAATACAGTTCTCAGAACTCTACGAGTCCTCGCCGTGGAGCTCTTACTACCTGCACTCAGGAATTACTGCCTTCAGGTTTGATGCACTAACAAAAAGCCTACTGATGAAATGACATGTGCAACAGTTCATACACAAAAGGAGCATTCATGACAACAACATACTCGGTTATATGTCCTTTTTGCAGAATAGCAACATTGTAAACCCTTTGTGTGACAGTGAAGGAGCAGAAGGGCTCAATGTCTTCTACTGGAGTCAATTCTCCGCCCCGGATGCCGTTGCAGTGACGATCCAGAGGTCCGGCCCCGAGAGACTGCAGCGCAGGCTTCCTGGCAGCAACAAGGTGCAGCAGGACAGCCGCAACGAGCAGCGCTATTTCATGGAGCAAGATGACGACATGCTCCACCTGCTGGGTAGAGGCTCTTACTGTACATTACATGCACATTAACCACAGACATATGCACACGTGTGGTTTTTGGCCACAACAATATGCAGATATTAGCTTAATACTATACATTAACTACTAATACATTGATTTTAAACAGTTACATCCATAAATTAAAAACTCACAAATGCTTAACACACCATGACATTTAAAATAGAAACAACTAATTAATGGCCAACCCTAGCTTTTTAAATATTTTACCCAGGAATAATTCATTTTTATTTAATTTTAGAATTAAATGTTATTTCTGATTTTATATAAGGGTATTTATTGCTCTGGAGTGGTCCTGAATTTGAGTGTTTTGGCATGTTCTGTGTGTGTATGTAGGTTTGGACCCTGACGACTTTGAATCAGAAGAAAAATCCGACAAGAGTAAGAATCCAAACAGCATCCAGAGTGGGAAGTGGCAGCTTGGCTTCCAAGGTGAGAAGAGCAAGGCTTTGACTTAATATCACAAAACCTTAAGATCAGGTTTCTAATGACGAGTTAATAATTAGAGACAAAGTGTGATCTCAACTTTTAAGGTGGCCATTAATGCTGCTTTCAAGGCCTGCATGCTGGGTCTGCTGACAGAACAGGAACAAGTGCACCGAACATCGTTCGTCTTCTAAATATTTATCTAAATATTGAATAAATCACGTCCTCTGTCTAGCGATGTCCTTTGACCTCTATGCCAAATATGGCAACAACCGCACCCTGAGCCTTGTGAGTCCCAAGAAGCCGTACTACCAGTGGCGTCTTCGTGTGCCGTCGGGTCACGTGGTTCGACTGGTCATCCTCACCCTGCACGGTGCCACGCCAGGAAGCTGCACCGCCCACAAGCTCTCGGCCTACGACTTTTTACTTCCATTACAGAACAAGATAATCGCACGGTAAAGACATTCATTCTCTGGTGCAGTGCTGATCTCGTCTCTGTAATGTGTCTCATTTGTATGTTGTGTACATATACATATCCTGGATGCATTTACCTGTCTCAGGTGGTGTGGGCTGCCTATTTCGGGTCCGTCGCCTGTCATGAAGCTGACATCCTCTGGGAATGTGATGTTGGTCACCTTCTCCTTCAGCAGACAGAGGGATGGAGCAATCTTCAAAGCTTACTTCCAAGCCATCCCAAAAGCAGGTTTGAGTGCTCTCATGAACAGACAAATCTTGTGTGATATGTTCATATTCGTGCTGGAATGATTTATTTCCACTTATTAGCAGATGTAGAGCAAAGTTGCCTTGTTGTTGTTGTGTATTCTGTGCACCTCACTCCCCCTGCAGGTTGTGGAGGGTCGATTTCCTCCTGGAACGGCTCTATTACCTCCCCCTACTACCCCTCCTATTACCCTCCTAACGTAGACTGCACCTGGATACTACGGGTGAGTGTAGACGTGTGTGTGTGTGTGTGTGTGTGTGTGTGTGTGCGTGTGCGTGTGTGTGTGTGTGTGTGTGTGTGTGTGTGTGTGTGCGCGTGTGCGTGTGTGATAAGAAAGAGAAGTTGGAATGTAAGAGAGTGAAAGAGTGAATCATTCCTTTCACATTTAACCCGTCCACGTTCCAGTCTGTCGACGCTTTCTTTAGTTGTCTTTGGTTACTTTATCAGGCGCCGTTGCCAGGATACCTGATCTCCATGACGATCGTGATGATGGACATTCAGGATTCCTCGTCATCAGACGGTTGTGAGAAAGACTGGCTGGACATCGGAGGGGTCAAGTGAGTTGTGAAACTGAGCTGTGTGGCCCACGTTAGCAACTTTGGGTTAGCATTTCATCCGCATCAATCGATTTTACAATATTCACTTCCTGTAAATGTGTTTTATCTCATAATTGTTTAAGCCATTGTTTTATGTGCCTGCATGTGTGAGTTTAAAAATCAAATTCCTTTTGTGCTCCTCTGCATCTAGACTGTGTAATCCAGTGTCAGACAGCAGCAAAAGACGAGTCTACTCCTCTCCTCTCTCCCTCCACTTCCATTCGGACGAATCTCTCACCCACAAGGGCTTCTACTTGCTCTATCGCGCCTTCTCTCCAGAGGGCAGTAAGTCAAATCTGATGCAATTTGCTCCGTCAGAGAGGCTAACTGATACAGCAAGTCATTCATGAGGGAACTTGGGGTCTCATATCCACATCTACGCCAAAGAAAGTACTGTAATTCCAGAGAGTGCTTTCAAATTCCATCCCTGTCTATCCCCAGCCTGTCCTCGGCAGTATCGCTGCGGAGACGGACGCTGTATCCCTTTGAAGAAGGTGTGTGATGGAGTGAAAGACTGCTCAGACGGACGGGATGAGGCTAAATGCTGTAAGTCTGTTGCCTGAAGACGCTATTGTAGATACAAAAGGGTCGTACACTTGACCGATGTAGGTGTTTTTTGTTCACACTTAATCTGAAAGACTTTCGTGCTACACTCAGATTTGTATGTGTCTGTGTGTTTCTATGTGCATGTTTGCACATATGTGTAAAACATGTAGCATCCTGCAGGCCAGGTGAGGTGCTGTGTGGGAACGGCCAGTGTAAGCCTCAAAGCAGCCAGTGTGTGAGCTCCTGTGCAGACAGCAGTGAAGAGGGCGCCTGTGGTGAGTAGACCGACACCGTCGTAACACAATCTGTGCTCGTCGTTATTTTGATGATTTAAAGCTTATGTGGTTGTTTTTCAGGAGGTAAATGTCACCACGCGTGTTCCAACAAAGTCTGTTTGCCAAAGTCTTCGGTGTGTAACGGTGTTATTGAGTGCAAAGACCGCAGCGATGAACTCAACTGTACCAGAGCGTGTGAGTGTTCGTGACGTCAGACATCACTGGTTGCACTGACCGATCAATTTATTTTAATGCAATATGTTGCATTTATAAAAGTACTTCTCTCTCTATTTAAAGTGCCCTTTGTTTCACTCTGCCTAATTATGTCTGTTATTCCCATTAGACCTTAAAGGCTGCTCCTCATCCTCATTCAAATGTGCCAACGGAAAGTGTGTCAGTAAGGTTAACCCTGAGTGTGACGGAGTCAAAGACTGCTTCGACAGCTCCGATGAACTGCGCTGTGGTAAGTTGTAATTGCGACGGAATGAAAGTCCTTTCAATTTCCAAAGAGAATTCTGCTCAATAATGTGTGCCTCCTCTGTCTCCCTGTGTGTCCCAGGCTGTGGCAGCAGGCCCAGGATGCGTACTAAGATAGTGGGTGGCTTTGACGCTGGGGCGGGGTCGTGGCCGTGGCAGGTCAGCCTCCAGATGGATCGTTACGGACACGTCTGTGGAGCCACGCTGGTCGCCAACCGCTGGCTCATCTCTGCAGCTCACTGCTTCCAGGACTCAGATGCCATTAAGTAAGAAAGACGCCTGGAAGCCTCATTATAATAATCATAATCCATGTGTGCTCTGTGTCCATGAACGTTGTGTCTGCAGATACTCGGATGCCCGTGCGTGGCGGGCCTACATGGGAATGCGGGTGATGACTTCGGGGAACAACGGAGCATCCACCAGACCAATTCGCCGGATCCTCCTCCACCCGCAGTACGACCAGTTCACCTCCGACTACGACATCGCCCTCCTTGAGCTCAGTGCTCCTGTCTTCTTCAATGACTTGGTGCAGCCTGTGTGCATCCCCGCGCCCTCGCACACCTTCACAACAGGAACCAGTTGCTACGTCACAGGCTGGGGGGTCCTCATGGAGGACGGTAAAGTTTTTTGAAGTTTACAAAAAAGTATGTTTTTAGATCTTGTGGATGTTTTGAAACGAGGCAATATGGGGCCAAAATAGACAAGCATCACAGCATGGTGACATTCATAATACCACAAGATGTTTGCTTTAATTATAGGTGAACTGGCCGCTCGCTTACAAGAGGCCACAGTGAAGATCATCAACAGGAAGACTTGTAACAAACTGTATGACGAGGCCGTCACTCCCAGGATGCTGTGCGCTGGGAACATGCAAGGAGGGGTGGACGCCTGCCAGGTGAGCGTGTACCTCACTGTTGGTGTGTCGACGTACAAGTATGAATTTTTATGGAATAATGACATCTCTCACGGAATTCAAATTCAGTTTGATTTTCTACATTTCCCAGGATTTATAACACACTTCCGATAGAGTTTGAAGATACCATAAGTAAAAATGAATTGCCAACAAGTGGCGACAGCGGTTGCGACTATCAACATAATGTTAAAGTGAAGCTAACTGCTGGTGGCAGAATACTGCTTATAGCTCACATCCTCTATGACATTGGTTTTCTGTTTCTGCTATGAAAAATCACTTCAGCTGCTCTGGAAATGTTTTTATATTCTGTATTCATATTTATGTTCCTGTCTATTTGTCTGAATGTCCATCACTGTGCATTTGTGCTGCCTCAGGGTGACTCCGGAGGTCCGTTGATGTGTCTGGAGCGAGGCAGGCGGTGGTTCCTGGCGGGGATTGTGAGCTGGGGTGAGGGCTGTGCGAGGCAGAACCGCCCCGGTGTCTACACACAGGTGGTCAAGTTCACTGACTGGATCCATCAGCAGACTAAAGGACAGGTGTGACTGAATATCGCGTGAAAAAATGACAGACTTCACACACATGGACGAAGGTTTCAGACCCGAGTTCACCTTTATATTCAGTCATTTTGTTTGTCAATGGCAACGGGGCCAGCACTGCCCCACACCAACCAGCTTTCTTTAAAAAAAATAGTGCTGAACCTGGTTATTAAATTGACTTGGTATGCTTAAGTCTCCTCAATCAGATGGACAGGTCAGGCCAAAGTACGACAACCAGCCAGGTTATGCTGTGCATGTAAATGTAGCCAATTACTTCTTGTTTTCCTACCCTCCTTCTTACATTTTCCAGCTACATTTTTCACTTCGGAGATTGTGACCATGTCGGGTGTTGCCAACAAAAATCACAACAGTCCTTTTATTGAATGTGGAAAGAGTTCTCTCCCTCACACACACATGTAACCGTATATATTATTGTCCTCATCTACATTCGTCCATGTACTGTATATGTGTGTTCATGACCGACTGTATGTGTTTAAGAGTCGTTGTTATTGTACTGTATGTGTATGTTTGTGCATTTGTATATCATGAGTTCATCTGAGTCATAGCCTTATGTCCAGTATATTCTGTAATTGTAGAGAAGTGAATAATCCCTCAATAGGAGGTTATAATATATTTTGGATTTCAGTTTTATTGTGATTTAATTTATCTCTATGGTGCCTCCTTTGTACTTTATGCTCAATGAAAAGCATGATCACAGCTCCCCTTGAAGACATGATGCAGTTGCTGCTGGCGTAAGGAGCATATAGGATTATTAGGAGAGCAGCGTATCAATCATTTCTATGCAGACACACTTGCATGTTGCTGTTTCTCCTGCGGTCAACTGTCATTCAGCTCACATCGCCATCCAGCGGCCAATCTGCACCGTTGTTTATTTTATGTCCTGAGAGAATGATGCACCCAAGGGATTAAAAAACATGCAGTTTGCATCATTGTTTAATTTTATTATATGCTTTTACATTAAAGACACAATTTGAAATGCAGCAGGTCTCAACAAAACTGTTATTTATTTCTGCATTTTTAATATCACATTGATATTGTTTTATTTTTCTTTCTTACTATGCTGTCCATCAGAGAAATGTATCTTTTTATCTCTTTCCTAATTTAAACTTGAGGCTGATACATTTCTAGTGCTTCAGATGTAATTGGTGCATTTGGCTGAAAAGAGTAGCCTACAATATGAGATACCTGCACAAAACAGAAGTTTGGAGTCAGAACTATGTTACCTGATGACGTCATGGTGTGAGCAAGAAGTCCCCATTTAACAGACGTTAACTGTCTAAGTGAGATCAGTGTTTTTCTACTTGTGCAATGTATTGAATGCCCTTCCAAGCACAACGCTTGTTTATTTTTTCTTTGGAAAAGAAAAAATAAATATCTGCAGTTTGAAACGCAAGAAACAGGCCTATCAAGTTGTTGATGAGGACACCACCCCGATGTCTCCGGTGCCTACGTGCTGATCAACCGGTGTGCAGCTGCCCTGTGTGTGCGCATCCTCACTGTAGCCTATTCAGTGGTGAGTTTTTCTAGCCTGTTGGAAATAACAGAACTTGCAGACGATTGGATAGAAAGCAATCCTATAATATTTACATTAATTTTTAAAAGTGTGTCAAAAAGAAAGGCCTATTTTGGACCATTAACCGTTACTCACGCCTCACTGGCCCCCTCTGCTTGAATTAAAAGGGGGACTGCTCTTACGCGCGTTGAGTGTGCGGACTTCCGTGACGTCACCTATCCGGTGGCTGCACTGTGGGAACGGTATAAATCCGCGCCACTATCCAAATCGATGGGAAAAAGTTGCACTGGAGTTCAAGAGCGGTGTCCTGTTGCGTGATCTCCCGCAGCTATCCTCAGGAAACCAATCGTCTCCGTTCACTGACCGTCCGCGCTGAGCGCCACAGCCAAGTGCGCTGCGCTGTGTTGAGCCTTCTCTGGAGGGAGGGAAAACATCAGCAGGAATAAAACTTGTTTCATATTTTATATCTGCAACCTGCTCGCTGCATCAGAGTCGCCAGAGATGATGAATTTGATCCTAATCTGCCTGCTATGTGGAATGTATGGTGCTCTTGCAAAGGGTGAGTGACTTTTGAGTTACATTTGTTGATGCAATACCTTATGTAGTTATTATTCGATAGTTTACTTTTAACGGTTGTTAACTGCAAGGAACGTGGTTGTAACCTGTAGAAAATTGCATTTTACCCACGACTGTTACCTACGATATTATTACACATAAACTAGAGGTTCCTGTAGGGTCGTAAGGCATCTTGACGCTCTTTAAATACAGTTATCTGAACAAAGCAGAACATCCAGTCTTTACTTTGGAAGAAAACAAAAGATGCACAGATGTGCCTCTTCATTGTGGCGCACTGTGGTGCGGCTGCTCATTTATTGGTCTATTAAGTGGTCGGTGCGGCCGTGTGTCTGAGGCTGTTCAGCCTGTAAACCTCTATTAGCGCTGATTGCAGAGACTGAGATAAGCGCTATCCTGCGGGACACTTGTTTGGATAATGCGGAGCTCTGTGACCCGGCTCATTGTGCGCTTGGCCCCGGTTGAATGGACTCACGCAGGGCGATGTTTCCTGAGTCTAATGAAACTTCTGATTTATAAAAACGAGGGGTCGTGACCGGCTGAAGGAAAATATCTGGAGCCTGGTAATCTGTGCCCATTGCCAAAACAGTCAGTCGGTAGGTTGCTTTTAAACTCCCCGCAGACTTTGCGGTGTTATTGGTCGTTTGGTGGTCTTTTGTGGCTGAAACAAAAACAAAAGCTAACTTTGCGTTTCCCTGCAAAATCTATGCGCAAATAACATCAAATTAAGAATTGTATACATTGCCTGATTTGAGATGGTAAATAGATATGATCACAGTTACCACAATATGTGCCTTGAATAACTATTAAATAACTCTATTTGTTTTTAAAAAAAAACAAGATTTTTAAATGTATCTATTGTTTTACCAAAAGTTTAAATTTAACTAAACTTCACGAATTAACTCATACCAATTGGCAACTATAGGACGCAACTGCAAGGCCTAGGAGTGTAATTAGGCAATATTTAACCCTATAGCTTTAGATGTACAATTTAGATGGGGTTTTTTCAGTCAATGCACTAATCTGTCAATCAACAAATACTTTTAACCCAAAGTAGTAGAATAATTATATATATATGATAATAAATGGATGTTAATAATTCCATTAGTGAGTCTTAGTACAACATGCATCACCATCCATTCATACACATTTCACATACTTAAACAATCATATGTCATTGATTGTTACCATCTCAATGTTGCCTGATTCCATCAAACTGCAGACGAATTCTGCCGAAATTATTTAAATTTCTTCACCATAATAAAGCTTTTGAGATTAGATACAGTGATTTCAGTATAAACAGGTATTGAGGTGAACGTGTACTCAGTGTTACTTTTGTTTGAATATTTTTTTTTTCTCAACCTAAAAAAAATCTTTATATTCTCAAGTGATTCATCCAAAATTCATGATAAGTCAGTTGGAGTTATTTTTCCCCAGTAGTAATCTCTCTGTGTGTGCGCGCACGCGCGTGTGTGTGTGCGTGCGCGCGCACGCGTGTGTGTGTGCGTGCGCACGCGTGTGTGTGTGTGTGTGTGTGTGCGCGCGCGCGTGTGTGTGTGTGTGGAAACTTGCCACAAAAGCATATTTTCACATGATTTTCTTTTTCTGTCATTGGAAATGTGATATTTGGAAACAAAAGACATCTATTTTCATCGGGCGAAGTAGCAGGGAAACTACTAAATTATTTGGAAATGGTGCGTTTAAACACGTAACAGCTTGTTGAAAAGTCCCCAGAAGGCTTGGAGGAGATTCTTAAGTTCCTCTCTGTCTTCCTTCACCCTGCCATGTGTGTTTCTCACTCACACAATGTGAAATCCAAGGAAATAGTATCGGAAGTGCTTGCAGTGTGAGTAATGCTAGATCTGCTCAATGGGGCATCCTCTGGGAACAATGATGCTGACAATGAATGGTACCAATGGATGTGATAAACTAACCCACCACTGTACAAGTGATTTAACTACTCTCAGAGCAGTGAGACGGTTGTCTTCTGAAGACTGTATTGACCTGCGTGTTGCACACTCTGTAAGGAGCAGTCACGGTGAAGGACGGACTTCCCTGAATGATGTTTCCGCTGTTGTTGGGAGGAAGGAAGGGCGGACACACAGTCGTCTATATCTCTCATTAATAAACCTCAGCGATGGAGTGGAGAAATGCCTATTTGATAAACAAGAGGGACACTGCTTACGCATTTCCAGACAAGTTGTCAAGTGGCCTGAGCGAGGAGATGTGCAGGGGGTCACACATACTGTGGCCTGGATGGAGTACGTGCTGTGGAGCCGGGACTCACCAAGACCGGTTCTGCAATCAGTCAAAAGTCCGGTTTAGTCTGGTTTGCAATGGACACAGCATGTAGGGACTGTCCAAAATATTTATTGGTTGTTAAGTATTTTGTCTTCCAGGATTTCCTCAGAAAGTGGTCTCATGTAGATCCGGGTCGACACAAAGAGATTTGGACACTCCCAATCATATTATTAGATTTTAATATAATTGCATCCATCATTTTGCCAAATTACTTATAAATAAGCAAGACATTCTGCTTCAATGAACACTCAGGACTCGAGCCTCCATATTATAAAGTAAACATCCTGCCTAGATGTCCCTAAATAATAATAATAATAATAATAATGAATCTCTGGAGAGGTCCATATGTCCATAGATAAAGCCTTATCACCTTATAATTACTGTAAGAGCAGACCACTCTTTTGTGATGCACATATTCAGTAGTTCTGGGATGTTGCTGCCTCTACATGTCTTCTGATTCTCATCCTCTCGCTTGCCTCTCCAGACAAAGATCAGAAGAGGAAGTACAGCGTTCCCATTCTGGATGTGAAAACCCGCCAGCTGGTCCTTGACACCAACCAGACACTACTGCTCAGCTGCAGGTACGTTTCAGGGAGATAGATCCGGGCCGGAAAACCTTAATTTGGGCAACCGTGATACACGGCAATCCCCAGCTTTGATACCTGTGAATCAAAGCAAACACCATCTTTAAGCCTTAATATCTTTCTAAGTTGTTGTAGAAGCGATGTACTCACGGTTTTTCCCAAACTCAAGAGATTTGCAAAATCAAATTGTAACAACGAACTTCATTTACACTTCTTCCATCATTCATGCAGACTTGTTGGTGGATTCCTTTGTAGCTACATTCAGATATATCTGATTTGAGTCTTGTATAATGTATTTTTTTCCCATTTCCTCTCCAGTTATGTTTCTTGTACTCTCAATACATACGTTTTTAATAAAATATCCCTTCAACAGTTCCTAGCCAGTGGTCCTGTCCAGTTATTTGTCTCCAGCTCCTCTTAATATATTTTTTTACTTAGTATTTTAGCCCAAAATCTGTTGCTTCCTATTACACTCTCTACAAGTTTCATCAGGGTGGTCCAAGTTTAGAGGATTTTAAAAAGCCCTTTATAGCATCTTCCGTCGCTGAATGTGAATGCACAAGCAAAGATTGCCAAGTGTTTTCGAAGCAAACTTTTATTTAACCCCTTGTACCTGTTGACCAGGGGTCGCTGGGAGCTGGCATGGGCGTTCCCATCAGGTTTGGCCAGAGATGAGGTGCAAGTGGAGGAGTCTCGCTGTGGGAGGAAAGGCCAGCATTACTGCAGCGGTTTGACAGTCAGCAGCACCCAGGCCCAGCACACCGGCCTGTTCCGCTGCAGGTACCTACACCGAACCCGAAAACAGACCTCCGTCTATGTCTATGTCACAGGTAAGACTCTGCTGCCCCGAGGTCCAAGAGCACAACTTCTTTTCTGTTTCTCTAGCTGCACTCATTGAACACCCCTTCACGCCTTCACCCCCTCATGCGTGTGTTTATATGTCCAGGTTAAACAGGACGTGGTGGGTGCTAAATGCAGACCAATGCCAGAGAGACAATTATATCCCAACACTGTTTGTCCCAACAACACATCCTTCGAGATGACTCTGGCACAGTTTCATCCCCCTCCTCCCCAGCCGCTCTTTTCTCAGCCTGGGCCTATATCTCCCTGTTGTCTATATATAAATCTTTTTTTACTTTCGTTTACGTGCTACCTCAAGGCCAGGAATAACCCAGCTCCTGAAAGGCTCAGGCCTGGGCAGAGTTTCCCAGGGCATCAGCCTTATCTGCTCTGCTCAGCCTTGCTTGAAGCATCCTGTGCTTGGGGGAGGAGGGGAAGGACTTGAAGGGGGTGTGCTGGGAGGGGATGTCGCTGTGTCTCTCCCAAGGTGGTGGCGGGGAGGTGTGTGGAAGTATGTGTGTGTGTGTGTGTGTGTGTGTGTGTGTTGTGAGGAACTGAGAAGGATAAGATGAAGGCCAGCGGCTCAGCGGTATCAAGGGGTAGAGGAGGCATGATGTCTACCCAGCCAGCTCCTCCCTGTCCTGGAGGGTGACGCTGTTTGGGCTGGGCTGTGCAGAGCATGGAGCTGGGCTGGAGGCCAGGGTCACAGGGCACGCTACTGTTTGGCCAACAGGACCCTCGGGGGCCATCAATCGCTCAGGTCAGCATGTCCATTAAGCGTCAGACTTGGCCTGCGGCTCTGCTTAGACGTTGCCTCCCTCCCAGAGTCCTCTAGGAATCAAAGCAAGAGAAGGAAGCCCTCAGTCCGCTAGTCCTTTGGGTACTTTTGTTCGAATGTTCAGAGATTTTCTTTCCTTGAGTAACACCCTACGGTAACAAACAATACAGTGAGCAACACCCACACTTTTCAATGGCACAGCACTATTACAGTAGTCGAGCTGGGAGGAGAAAGCTCAGAGAGGCCGTTTGATTGCTTCTAAACAATCTGTGTGTTTATTGTTGACTACAGGCAGTCATTTGCTGAATGGGTATTCAATGAGTGGGTGTGGAGGACAGAGTATGTTTACGAGTGTGTGTCTGTTTGTTTTTGTTTGTTGCTGAGATTGATACTTGGAAGTGTGTGTGTTTGTTTGTGTGTTTGTGCATATAGGCAGGTGATTGTTTTCTTTCCTTTCTCTGTGTGCATGAAATTAAAGGGTCAGTTCACAGAAGATTATAGAGAAACGTATTTTCTCACTCAGTCAAAGAGGTCATTTCCACTGGGGATGGGAGGACAAACCCTCTCACTTTTTCAAATCTTGTTTTTTCCCCTTCACTCTTAATGTGTCATGTTGATTTTCCTAGCGTGGGTCCTTTTTTGCCCAGGCTTTTGACTCTCAGGCTACACTCAGGCTGTCCTACCTTATTGGTGAAGGTTATTGGACCTGCATGTAGCCTGAAAGAATTTTGCAAACAGTACTCAGGGCTGATCAAGTAAGCTGCCAACTTCAGTCTTTGGGTTAAAAAGAAATAGAAAATAAAGAAAACGATAAGATAGAAAAGCACAGTGTTTCATAGTAAAGATGCAAAAAAGACACACACACACTTCTAAAACCAAACTTGCACACACTGTTATCTAACCAAGCTCTATGATGGTATTGATTTTAGGGGGCCATGCTTTGAGATATTTGTCTGTGAGATTTCGGCTTTCACCTCAACACAATGGAGGAGAATGGAAGTTTGTTGCTCACAGCCTTAAGAAAATAAAACATCAGCATCTACCTAAACGGGACACTGTTTCTGGACAGAGATGTTCTCATTGAAATTTTAAAATGTCAGTTTTTAAAGCTGTGAATACCTTTTTCAATCACTTCCTGGTTTGCAGGTGGAAATATCAGAAATGAATAGAACTGAAACGATGTTAATTGAATAATCCTGAAAATCAAACAATCTCTAGTTTTAGCCTCTTGGGATTATCTGATTTTCTCTGCTTTATATCACCGCTATGTTTACATCTTTGACTTTTTAAACTTTTGGTTGTACAAACTGGGACATTTGAAAATGTCAACTTGCGGTCTGAGAAGCTGTTGTGGGAATTTTCCTTTAATATCTGTGAACTGACACTTGAAACTGTACATATTGTGATACTGAACTGTGATATTGAAAGAAAGAAGCGTCTTTGTTTAACTTAAGCTTATATTTGACCTGTTTATTGTTGGTACCGAATGTGTCCCTGACCGCAAGCGTTTGGGTTTCAGACAGCCAGCAGCCATTTGTGGAACGTCCGGGTATGAGCCCAGATGTGTTGTACATGAAGGAGACGCAGCCGCTGGTCATCCCCTGCCGGGTCACCCACCCAAACGTCACAACCACACTGGTCAAGGTCAGTGAAGGAAATATGAATGAAATGACAAGTTGACAAGTCGGCTGTCTTTTTTAAATTCATGTTTGGGTGCAGAGATCTGCTCCTCATCAAGATCTCTCTTCGAAGCAGGTGTATCTACACACTCATGTCCTCCTCTGTCCAATAACACCACTCACATTCTCTGCACATCACCACTTGCCCCAGGTTCACACATCAGGGTTCACATATGCACACAATGCACCCTACAGTTGTAGGGAGCTGTTTGTTTCCTCCCTCTCCAGATCATTCGCCACATTGTTCTTATCTTGGCAGCCATTAAGCTGTGGCGTGTGTGTGTAAGTTTGTTTGTGTCCGTTTGCGGATATGTGTGAAAGTGTGTGCGGATATGGTTGTGAGTGTTGGTGCTTGAGTGCTGAGTGAGGGGCCGAGGGGACAGTGCTACTAAGTGCAAAGAGGAGCATTTAGAGTACTTACTGTCTGCATGTGTGTCTGTTTTGGTATGAGTGCATATTGCTGCATAGATGGTATTTGCCTTTCAATGAAACAACAACAGGTCTGTCTGTTTAAATCTGCAAGAAAACCTTCAATGATGCCCCTTTCTTCACTAACTTTTTCCGATAAAGCGGGGCCCACAGCGTCCTGTTGGCACTGTTTCCACCTCTGGAAACAGGACAATGAGGTCTGGATTGCCCCTTTTGGCCGCTGGCCATGCAGCGCCACTTCCCACATCTCACCCTCCACCTCTTGTAGTAGGAATCCTGGCTGCCAACTTCCCCAACTGACGCTTTAAACAGCTGGTTTGCCTGATGGAGGAAGCAGAGGGCAACTACTGTTGACCCCGACAGATCAAAGTACAGTAAATGCTCTTTAATCACGAATGCTGATCATTAATATGGCAGCTTGTGCGTCACTGTAGGAAGCTTATTGTGGTATGACAACAATAGAGTAGTTGTAAAACATAGAACACTCTGAATTTGACCGTTTTTGTATGCACAAAACATGATAGAAACAAGAAAAAATAAAAGTGTAATACATTCCAACAATTTAGTATTGCACCTCCATAAAGTTAAAGGACTTGCTAGAGACAGATTAAAAAATGAATAATCAAAATTGGTGCAGAGATTTCCTAACGTTTAGCACGTATGGTAAAGGTTAAAAAATCCTCAGCCCTACGCGTCCCATCATACAACTTTAAAAAGTATTTGTTTAGACCCTCTCTGTAGGCTAAATGTCCATATCTTTCAAACTCCTTCGCCCCAGTTTGTACAATATGCATTCATTAACAAAAATAGCGAGATGTAAAGTCTGAGAATAACCAAAGTTATTACAATTCATCCTGAAGGAAACCTGAATGTCAGAACTAAATTTCATGTCAATCCATGAAATAAGTGTCAAGACGTTTCACTCGTAACCACAAATGTGATCCAAAGGGGATGATCAAAGTCGGATGGATTTATCCTCTGGGGAAAATGAATATCTGAACTAAATTTCATGGCAGTCCATCTAATAGTTGTTGAGATATTTTAGTCAGGATCAAAGTGGTGGATGGACTGTCAGACCACCATTGGCCATGCTGCAAGCGTGGCTACAAAGCAAGAGGAAAGCTGCAAAAAGAGGAATTGTCTATAGGAACGTTAAGTTCCGAGGATTTGGGAAGTGCAACAACATAATTAGGACAAACCATAGACTATAGTGGTCGCATCACCTTGACGTCACACATTGATTTGTGGATTATCGTTTTGAAGACTCAAGTTTGGCATTTTGGCGGTTTACCATCTTGTTCTTTTAACAGAAGTGACACGAGAGGGTACAACTGAAAGCTGAATAAGACGTTTTTGGGCGACCAATAAGTTAAAATTAACTTCCATACACAGAAAACACACTGTGAAAGCGCTAAAGTTCTAAGACGAAAACACAGACAGCACACAAACCTGAAAATGCTGCGGTAGCGACTTGTCAATTACAAGGTAGCCATGCTCTAAAACATACCCTGCTTTATCGTCTATTTTACTATAAATGGGACTATAATTTACTAAATAAACAGCATGTTGCATTGAAGAAGACTTGAATATAATGATTGAGAGCATAACTGTTTGCTGAAGTAATAAATCAAGTCGAGAAGTAGCGTCATTTTGTCATAGACTTCTATACAATCAGAATTATTTTTGCAACCAGACGAGTCGCCCCCTGCTGGTCATTAGAAAGAATCAGGGTTAAGGGCACTTTCGCATTGGCGTCACTTTTCAGACCAGCAGGTTGGCACCTCGGACAAACCAGACCGTACATGACATTAACACATACACACACACACACACACACATACACACATGTTTATTTTCTGCTTCCATCTCCTCACAAATTCCTGGAACCTCAAAGGTAGTTATTCTAAAAATAGCTCTCCTCCACTTCCTTCGTCTCCCTCCTCTATTCCTGTTCGGGCCGAACCAGAATTCCACTCACTGTCACCGTGTTTGTTTCCTGGATCTCTAGTATGACCCTTCTCAGTGGGAACAATACCCAGGAGGCTCTGCTCTGTCGCTCTCGCTGTGAAAGTGACCAAAAGGTCTCGGAGGTCCGGAATGACGGCTTCGACCTGGGGTTCAAGTCAGAATGTCTATATCCTGTAGTAACAGGATGCCAGGAGATGGACTGGAGTAACGTTCCTCATATCCTGACTCCTCTGACTCCTTTGCTCCTCCTCCTGTTTCTTCATCTTCACATACTTTTCATGTAGGTTTGGAGGATGGGGTTAAGAGGGGCAGAGAGGGGCCTGAGGCTGATCAGAGGTGGCGTCAGGAAGTAGCATATACTTTACAGGACTGAGAGAGGAGGCGGAGGAGGAGCTCAGTTGCGTCTGAGAGGGTCGCCTCACTCTGGGAGGAGGGATATCAACCAGTTCACACTGGGGGTGCAGGAGTGGGGGGAAGTGTGTGTGTGTGTGTGTGTGGGTGAGATGGGGGTGGGGGGGTCCACCTCTTCCCTTGAGACTGGGTGGGAGGCTTCCACTGTGTCACAGAAACTCTAGTAAACATTTCCTTTAGGCTGCTTCCAAGAAAACAACAAGGTTACACAGTTACACCAGTGTCCATGTAGCCAAGTATTATAAAACCAACACTGTGAGACCACATGCAGCATCATCTGGGGCTTCTTATGACAAATTGGACTATAATTAGCATCTTCTAGAGGTTTCTGTAAAGGACCTGCGACTATCTTATCATTAGAAGCTAAAACAAAAGCTCAAACTGAAGTGGAGCCAAGAGTATCTGGATTATAGCTCAAACCTGCACAACATGGAACCCAATTCCAGAAAGACCTGAGTCGTAAAAGAAAAAAGGTAAATAATTGAATCAATGAAAGCGTGATTCAATTTAGCTGCTTCAGTTACAGGGTCCTGGCATCAGGACTGAGACTTGAGCTTGAGTTACACTTGCTAACATCCCGACAATGAGGTTTTGAGTCTTGACTTGGACTTTTTTTTGTCTAACAGCAAATCAAATGCTAATGACGAAGACCAGTTTCCTCCTGTGTATTATCACAGTCTTGGGTGTTACACATCACATGTGACTATGTTCCTTCCTTATTTGCAATGTTTAAATATCAAATCAGTCATTGTGATGCTGGTGACTGTCGTTGTCTGATTTCTCCATACACGTTTGATGGGTGTTGTCCTGTCCTCCCTCCTCCCACAGTTCCCCAACCAGAGCCTGAGTCGAGACCATAGGAACATTGTTTGGAACAGCAAGTACGGCTTCACCGTCCAAACTCCAACCTTCGATTACATTGGCCTCTTCTACTGCCAGACAATCACTGAAGGCGTCACACAGAAGTCACGTATATACTTTGTACACAGGCCAGGTCAGCAGTGCATAACTTCTTTTTAGATACATAAACATGCATATGTGTCTCAGTGAGTTCTATACATATACATAATTTCTATATTTGTTTCTTTCTTGTCACAGTGAGTAACATCATGGAGGTATATTTGAACAGCAGTGGACCTATGCAGGCCCTGAAGGGAGAGAGATTGGTCTTGAACTGCACCGCCATCGGGGAGTTGAACACCAGAGTCAACATCACCTGGGACTACCCTGGAAAGGTCAGACCTGCATTAAAGTCTGGGGAGACAAATTACTTTTAACAGAGATTGAGCAGGCAAGCCAGTTGCATATGCGATGAATGCCGATGTTCATATCAGCCTCGTATCACGCTTGCACAAATGTACAATGCCACATGGTTAACATTATGAAAGGATTAGTTCAAAAACTATTAGGCATCAAAACTATTTGGATGGGTTAGACATCATGTCTGTTTAAATAATAACGTAACAATGCAACGTAACAACCGAAACTACCATAAATAAATACAAAATTCCCATAGCAGACTTTACTATTAATGTTACCCACGCATCCCTTCAATTACATTTTTTTACGTTGCAATTAATGTGATCTCATCTCAAGCTCCAGTAGTCGACCACTTCCTGAGAAGGTCTATGTAATTAAGGACTTATTAGTTGTGACTATAACTTTATCATTATGCTTGATGAGTAATTTAGTATATTTAGCGATAGCTATTATCGCTTCAACGATTGGTGAGAAGTCATTTGGAAAGACCGATTTCTTCTGATAATTTATTTAGTAGAGACAGAACAATGGGTTCACAACTTTACATAAATAACATTTTAACACAGGTGAGCCTTCAGTGTTGATTCTGTGTCTCTTCCTCGCTCTCCACCTCCAGAATAACAACACCGGCTCCACCTCCAAGAGGCTCCTGAAACACAGAACGCACATGTTGTTCTACAATATTCTGACCATCCCGAAGCTCCAGCGTTCAGACCAAGGCCTCTACACATGCCGCGTGACCAGCGGGGAGAAAACCAAACAGCAGAAAATCACTGTTACCGTCTATGGTGAGTGTCTTCCTCTGGAACTCCCTGACATTCAAATGACTCAACTGCAGACATATGAACAAATTACACATTTATATTTTCAAAACTACAGCAAGTTTCATTCTGATGGTGATCAACTCCTTTTTTTTACAGACTGAGTGTGGTGGATTAATGTCACAGCAATTATCAAACTTTAGCATTCGATTGCTTAATCCTTCCCAAATGAATGCATGTGTGTCTTCAATTATAGACCGTCCATTTATTCGCCTGAAGCCCAGACATGGATCTGTGATTGAGGTACAGGCAGGACAGAAATCTTACCGAATCTCTCCCAAACTACGAGCGTTCCCTGCCCCTGAAGTCATCTGGTAAGAGATCAACTTGATCCCTGAAGTCACACCTAACCGCCTTGTTTTTTTGTCTTTAGTTTTGTTTTTCCTCCCTTTTTTACATCTAAATAAATTTGTTTATCTATTTTAATCTCTGGTACACTTTCTCAACACCATTTCTTATGAAAGGCCTTGGATTTGTGTTTGCTCGTCATATTTATTCATTGAAATGATCAAAGTAATTCTGTAATTGCAGACCTCGAAATTATTTTCCACCTTAAAACTTCAACAATCATTCAGTTCCTGAAACTTTGCTCAGAGGTCTTTTTTTTCTGACAGGTTGAAGGATGGCATGGTGGCAGCAGAGCAATGCTCCAGATACCACATGGATGGGAGTTCCCTGGTAATCCGGGACGTGGCAGAGGAGGATGCTGGGAAGTACGCTGTCCTCGTACGAATCCAGGAACACGGACTCTACCAGAATCTCACGCTCACACTTGTGGTTAATGGTGAGAAATTGAATTCTTCACCCACCAACCACCTTTAGCTCTGTCTTAGACTCACCTCAGTGTTTAACTTCTGTGTTTGTGTGTACTTCTTGTCTGACAGTAAGTCCTCAGATAGGGGAGAAAGCGGTGTCGTTGCAAGACCCGGGCTCAGTGCCACGGGGGAGCAGACATGCCCTTCACTGCACATCCCACGGAGTCCCTCCTCCACACATCCAGTGGCTCTGGCATCCCTGCCCGTCCAAAGGCCTGTAAGTAGCCCAGAAGACTAAATGCAGTGCAGTGTGCACATACAAATCTTGCCTCCAAATTTGAGCAGTAAACCATTTGACATTGCACCATCAGGAATTAGCTAGCTTCACTATTGAATAGTATAAAATCCTTTACACCTGTCTTTACTAAAGAGCACTATTTAGCTATTTTGACGAGACAAATTAGACAGCAAAACATATATGTTAAGTTGAAATAGTCATACGATGTAATGACCCACTGTTGCTGTTTTTAGTTGATATCAATTGAAACTTTGAATTACTTGTACATATTTTGGGGGCAAAGGCTAAAATGAATATCAGTGCTATAATGTTACAAACACATGCAGCACAAAAAATTGTGTCTTTGTTTGTTTTATCTGATTTGATGGTCTGTGTGTGTGTGTGTGTGTGTGTGTGTATGAGTTTGAAAAACGAGACATGTTTTGTCTATTTCAGCTTGTGTTCAGACAGCATTTCCTTCTTGTAACCAGAACAGATGCCTTTGGGGGCCTTTCATGTGTGGAGAATGTGTGAAAATCGGTGTGTGTGGGTGTGTGTGTGTGTGTGTGTGCGCGCCCACATATATATGTGTGTGTGTGTCTCATCATGTTTGTGTTTATGTTTGCTTGCTTGTGTAACTCTTTCCCATTATGCTTGTTCTCTTACTGTCTGCGTTTCCCTTTTCATATGTTTGTTTAAGTGTATACAAATGTGTAGCCTGTGTGTGGCAGAATGTGTGTGTGTGTGTGTGTGTGTGTGTGTGTGCCTGGTACATTCACAGACACAGTACACTGCGTATCTCAGACTTGAAAGGACAAGAGAAAAAAAACACACTTCAATGGAAACCAGTTCCGTGCTCTCAGTCACGATTTGTTGGTTTCCAAATCAAACGCTATGATTTAATGAATTTCCTGTCCAGGACGCAGGCTAAGAGGCCTGTTTATTATTGTGATTGCACGCTGCATCCTGTGATGCCATTTCTTATATCTGACACACACACTATATATAAAGTTCTCATGAGAAATGGCCCAACCCAGTGATGTAGAGACAGTCATTTAGTCAACACACCCGAGTACTCAAGCCGGCACTTGGCTGAAACATTGATTGAGTTGTTCTCGGAGGTCAGTCACTTATTGTGTTGCTTATGACCAAGTCAGAAAGGTTAAGTATCACCTGAGAGCACCACGGCAGCCGCCCATACTTCATTCCCACTGACATCATCAGTGTACTTGCCCCTTAACACTGGCACTCTCCAATGGCGCCATGCCGAGGTGCCTCCAGCGTGGTTTCACCCGTCCATCTCTGCCAAATGCCAAATGTAATCTACACAATGTACATGAACATCTTTTAGGAGAGCAGGTGGTGCTAAAGTATCTGATATGTTTTTGTCAGAGTGATATAAACTCTTTATCCTGCAAAAATGTACCTAGACAATCTCTTGCATGTTCAGGAAATATATTCAGATGTTCAGGTAAAAACTATTGAAGTCTTGCTTCTGTTGTACTTCGTTATGGAGTTATAGTGTAGATGCACAGTATGTATGAGAGCAGAATGTATCTTGTTTTGTTGTGATGAGAGTCAAATGCAATCTGCACATGAAGAAAATTTGCCAAAATACAATTCTTTGTATGATTCATTTGGTAAATCAATGATTGATATTGACTTTTAAATTGCTTCTGAGTGGGTTGTAAGTCAAATTTCAATTTTAAAATCACACATGCATACAAACATGCAAAAGCATTACTCACAACAACAACAACAACAGCATCAAGATTTCACTAGACCACTGAAGCTACAGTTTATCACCAAAAAGGATCTAAATAATAATTGCACAGTGATGTTTCACTGGCTGATTCATGGTCCTAAAGCTCTGTTCTGGTTCTGGTTCTGCTGCAGTGTCTGCATTGAGTGTGTTTCTTTAGTTAGTTTTTGGCTGGAACCTCACTAGCACCTTGTTCTTTGCAGCCCGGCTGCACCACGAGCCTGACGCCGCGCTGGAGGAAGCCCAGGGACATTGGACCAGGCTGGGCCAGGCTGATGAGGGGCCTCGCGCCTGGGTCCTGGGCTCACTCCTGGGTCTGGCCCTGGGAACCACAGCGCTCTTATCTGGCCCGGGCAGGAGGCGCACTGGGCTTCCTGTGCAAAAATCAGAGCGCTTTTCCTCTCGTTGTTTGGCTTCCTCTCCGACGCGAGACGCTTCCCAGCAGCGTGATTGTCCCTTCGTCTTCAAACGTGGCACAGTCCGCTTCCTCAAGAGCTTGATCTATTCTTGAGAGACCCCCCCCACACCCCTTCCCCCAACTCTGCTGCCCCCTACACATACCTCTCCAACACCTTCCCTCACCAGCTCTGCCCTCCACCCCAACCAAGCATCAAGAACAACTCCCCATCGCCTTCCACCCTGGAGCCCATCCCCTTCACCACCGCCAAGTCCACACACTCATCAGTGCTTGTCCACAGCAGCCAGAACCCTCAGGGACATTACCATTGACCCCATGTGATGATCCTGTGCGTGCTAAACTGGTGTGGAAAGTGAGGAAAGTGATTTGGAACACTGTTGAGCAGTGAAGACCAGGAGACACAGGAAACAAAGAGGAAAATAAGCCACATCAATAAGGATATAAGGACACCTGCTTTACTGATTATTTATTTATTTCCTTCATTTTCCCAATTTAAGTCAGCCCCTTGCACCAAGCCATCCTGTAGTTTTATGCTTTTTGCATTTCACAGACGTTTTGAGCCAGAAGAAGTGCAATTCCATTCATCCACCAGCCACATTTCTGGAGCTGCTTTGCTTGTTTTTTGTGTCCTAGAGTGGTACTATAATGGGTGCATGAACCGTGCCTGTCCTAAGCCCCAATCTGATTCTGACATCCACAAATGCTGTGAGTTTCTGTTCCGATTTTAAGCCACTGGTAGAGGGTCAAATGTGCTCAACTTGGACGGGCAAAACAGGAGAGAGGACAAGCTTTGTGTTGTTCACTATGGGATGCCTACAGTTCTCTATTAAAAGACTGACGGTCAGCAGACGCCTACCATGTAGGAAGTGTCCACAGACCAGAGACTATGCCCTCTGTCATATTACGTCATCCAGTGTCATCCCATGTCAAAATGTTATGTTTGTCAAATGATGTCAGTATAACGGCCCTCTTGTCTTTGTATTGAAAGTTAATTAAAATCAAAATGTATGAGTGCCATAAGTGTTTTAGTAAAGTCCAGTTCTGTGTATGTAAAGCAAGTGTGAGAGTGTGTGCACTTGTGCAGGAACGTCAATGTGTGTCTGGGCGTGTGTGCGTGCGTGTGTCTACGGGTGTCACCCAATGTGATTCATTCCTTGTATACAGATGTTCTATGAGTAATATATGAATCTAATATTTAATAATTTTATACAACTAACTTACATATGACGAATGACAATATTTGCCAACTTTGTATGAAGCTGTATTGAAGTGTTATATCAGTTGTTTGTGTTTTTGCATTAAACTTTGCTTATATTTGTGTATTGGTTTATGCCGCCCTGTGTTTTTTGGGGGTTTGAGACGAGAACGGACAGGGACAGCGGTTAAAGTGTATTCTAAGCTAGTGAAACAAGACAGGAAGAAAAGGCAGGAGATGACCCCCACTGATACACAACTCATTCATATTTCCAGGCGGCTGCTGCTCACCCTGTTCTCAGTTACACACTGTGTGAATGTGGCTGTGGCATGACTGTATGCTTTTTCGCTTTTCTGTTTCTAACCACGTTTATGTCAACACACCCATCTAACTAATCATATTTGTGTGTGCGAGTGCCACTTTGATTGAGAAAGGTTTTCCTGGGAAGCTTGGGAGTGTTGGTGTAATCTCTGCCTGTGTGATGGGTGTGTTTGGTGTGTGTGTGTGTGTTTGGTGTGTGTGTGTGCGCGCGTTTGGTGTGTGTGTGTGTGTGTGTGTGTGTGTGTGTGTGTGTGTGTGTGTGTGTGTGTGCATGCGTGCATTTGAGCATGTATGGGTCAGGCCCGTGGTGTCATGCACAGGGTGGGTCATTTGTGCAGTTGCACATGCCAAGAGGAAGAGCAATCAGGGAGCAGAGAGGAACCAACCTCAGGGAGGAGCTCAGCAACAGACAGAAAGGATACAGACAGAGACGGGGCAGTGACACATCTATAAACAGGCAATGGATCAATGAACAGAGTGGAAATGACAGTTTACAGCGAGGATGATGGTTGATGTCTAAATAATGAAGCTCCTTTCTTTTGATTATGAGATTTTGCCAGATAAATAGATAGATAAGTATCCCCTCTTTATAATGCACAGATGATGCCCTACAATCAGTATTTTATTTTGCATATACTTCAAATCATGCCTAATATTTTTGGTGAATATAGAGACAGTCACTTCCTTGCTGGCAAAAGTTAGAGGGAGATACAAATTCTTACATACAGTATTTTTGCTCTGCCATAAAACATTGACCTCCTTTGTAATGCAATCTTTTTGTATAACCTTGTTAAACATCGATACGTTTCCTCTTTCCTGGCAAAAGTTAGAGGGAATACAAATTCCTTCAGACCACATTTTCAGTCTGCCATGAAATGTATCTTCTCTATAAAAAAAAAATATTGTTCCTAGATGGTACTTGCTACATTTTCATTACATTTATCATTATATTCAATATATATAAGCGGTTCAGCATTGCTTATATAGAACTGTTATGAGACATGGAGACACATTTTCCCTCTACTCTGAAACTAGTTTATCAAGCGTTGTGTGTTTGTGGCCCCTTCATGTATGATTTCAGAGGTTTTCATCCTAAAGATGTGTATAAATAAACCACAAAGCAGCCTGCTCTAGCTCCAGTTCCCACAGCTCAACTAGTGTGTAATCTGTGGATTTAGACTTGTGAGACTCGTAGAGAGGGACAGGAACTCTTGTCCTGGAAATGTGGGATGATTTGTTAAGAATGGAAGGAAGTTGATCCACAGGATTACAAAACCACCTCTGCATCCTCCATAGATGAACAATCCAGCATTACATAGCAACCCAAAGATCCTATTGTCAGCCTGCAGGACAGGGTAAGAGGACATGATGCCATTGATAAAAAAGGTTTGGTGATGATGATTATGTGAATGAAGGTGAAGATAGCATCAAGCAGTGATGATCAAGGCATTTCCCTGGTCATCCTCCTGCTGAGCACAGCTGAGAAAAACACACACAGACACACCTGGAGGCAGCATAAAATGACTTGTGTCAACACAGCTGAGTCTCTGTCCCTATCCTCCTCCTCATCCTCCTTATTCAAGGTGTGTGTGTCCAACGTCGTCCTCGCCATGGAGCCCTGTGATCGAGAGAATCCCCGCCACGTCCAAAAGCAACCACATCCTGAGTATTGCGCACAGACAGGAAGTGCTTCAGGGAAAGAATAAGGTAGGTGAAGCATTGTAATACACACTGTGACTGACAGAAGAGCCCAGTGTGTGTAAGTAACAGGATTTTTATATACTGTCGAAATTTAGGTTAAAAACACTAAAAACAACCCGATTTGGATAAGCTCAAAGGTACAATAACTACTATACTATACTAACTATAATTTATCCTGGAAAAGTATCTTAATTGCAATAATTAACAGATTAATTGATGTAAATGGACCAATATGAACAGAAGTTAGATCATATGTTACATCTCTAAAATGTCACTGTATAGTTTAACTTGCTAAAAAGTTCAGATGCTAAGAAAATATTGTAGTTTCACTCAGTGTATCATCTCTGCCCTTCTTTGCTCACGTCTCCCACACATTCACAGATACACACCTTTATTAATACTTATCAACAGCTTGTGTGATGAGCTGCCCACTGGGTTGGAAGTGTGCAGGAGGCCTGGCTCAGAGACCCCTATTGTCTGCTCACGGGCCCATGGAAAATATGATTCCTGCCATCAGTGGCAGAGGTTAGGAGCCTGAACCTTAAATGTGTGCATGTGTGTGTGTGTGTGCGCTAAGTGCCGGTTTGATCATGCGGATGTTTGTGCTCTCCATAGACAGTGGGGGTCCTGACTGTGGCAGAGGCCTTTGTGTCTGGAGTGTATCGCTGCGTTGCCTCCAACTCTGCCGGCACAGACCAGCTAGACTTCCACTTCTACGTCACAGGTGAGAAATCATCTCCTCAGATAAGCAACTCATGAGTGGTTTTTTTTTCTTGACTGCATGTGATTTTTTTTTTCATAGATGATATCAGAAATTACAGCAAACTATTTTCTATACGTAATCTTTCCTCTCCTCTCTTTCTATTCCCAGAATTTCGCTTTAAATAGTTTCTGTCTTCTTTCTGTCACCTGCTGGACTCACTCTACTCCCTCCTCAGTTTCTTTATGAAACTAGTCAGATATCAGCTGATTCACTTGATGCTTTGATCTTTTTTGTACTGATATTCAATCCAAAATAATGAGTGAAGATGAAATAATGTTAATTCTTCTGTTCTGTTTGGTCAGAAATACCTTTGTTTGAGTTTTACGTGGTGAAAAAATATGCAATTAATTATCTTTCTTCAACCTGAAATATATTGATAGAACATTTTCTGTAAAGAACATATACAAGAATATATTTCCCTCAATACAAATGCTGGAATCACACCAGCTGAGTGAAAAGGAGGAGCAAGTGGGGAGGGTGAGAACAGAAGATGGGCAGCGATGAAACGCTGAGTCTTCAGGCTGCAGAATACTACTGTATATGGAGTTGTTACTACTGTGTTAAGGTCATTTCACCATTTGTGAGCCAGGTGATGCAAGGTCGGAAACGTGCAAAAGAGACACACCGGCAATGTCACTGCTCTGCTGTGGAAAATCTCAGAGTTCCAACTGACCTAGAGGGATGGGACAGCAGCTGCGTCAGTACCATCCAATACATCACAATTCAAAGCTGCTCAATTAGATTCATATTGAAGAAATGCAACTTTTCTCATCTAAAAATCTGAAACTTGCTCAAAAGTATTTAGACATTATTAAATTCTCAAGTGGTATCTGATTACAAATTTGAGAATTTTTTAAGGAAAATGTGGAATATTGTACAGACTACCAGATACAAGAACTCAAATAAGTAGATATTTTAAATAGTTAAAAAAAGTTACGTATCAGAAGAAGAAACACACCTTAATGATCGTTGAAATCCTTGGCAGAACAAAGTAGCGTACGTGCATCGGTACATACTACAGTTATGTGTGTCATGTGGTTAGATTGGTTACTCGGCCTACAGGTAAAGTTTATTTAGTGCATATGTGTGTGCATGTGTGTGTCTGTGCAGAGGGCTGTGCTGAGCTGTGTGTGAGCGAGAGCGAAACAGGAACCTGGGGCTCTTATCGTTCCACTTCCCCGTACAGCACACTTCCTTGGACTGGCAGGTCCACTTTATTTCGGGAGGCCTTGGGGTGTTCGGGAAAGATAAACACTATCTGCCATCAGGAAACTCTCGAGCCGTTTCCACGGGAAGTTTCGGATGGCTAAAGTAAATAAAAAGCCTTTTCACTGTATTCCACTAGCTGCTTGTATACCCACAATAGCCATACAACATTGTCGTCAATAATGGAGGATTGGTTGAATCAGCTCTCCTGGTTTCATGCACCGGACAGGATCCACACACACTTATCTAGAAACTGAGAGGGTTTTTTCCATCAAACAGGAGATCAGTGGAGGTTTGTATTTGGTTCACGTTCCCCCTCCCTCACCTCTTCTTCCACGTGTTCTCCTCTCTTTTTCCCTCAGACGTCACAGGGGGCTTCAGTGTGAGCCAGAGGGAGGAACCCAGAGAGGGTGGAGACCTCCATCTCACCTGTGTAGCCAATAAGTACCTGTACACAGAGCTGTCATGGCATCGAGTTAATGACACTGAGGACGCCCAATCCCGCAGCCAGCAGCTCACATCGGGGGAGTTTTCCAATTGTCTGGTCCTGTTGCTAAACAACCTAACAGCCAGAGACTCCGGAGCCTACAGCTGCTCCACCCGCCACCTGATCACGGGACAGGAGACACACCTGGACACACAGGTGGTGGTCACAAGTGAGTAGTTGCAAATTTACGACCTCCTCCTCATCGTCCTCCTCATCATCTATAAGCCCATAGTCTGCACTGTGCATTTTTGGGACACTTGCTTTAAAATAAATTAACATGTAACTTTAATAAACAATAATAGTAAGTAATCATCTCATTTATACCACTCGTTTTTTATTGAGTTTTTAGCTTGTTTGCACACAATTTATGCTTTTTTCTGTTCATTTTTTGATTACTCTACAAAGAATAAATTAGTACGTAAAGATGTCTTCATGAACCACTTTTCAAAACAATTATTTCATTACATACTTCAATTTTGCCATCTCAATTTCACAAATCCAATTTTAAATTTTGTTTTTATTTATTTGACTTTTTAGACCATTTTGAGTAACTTGAATAATATTTAATATTTTTCAGAGTAGAATATTTTAATGCTACAAAATCAGCGCTATCTCATCTTCAACCTATTATATATTGTATTCAAATTCACCATACTTGGTATTTGCCTTTCCTTGCATTCTTACAAATGATATGCAAGAATTAAAAAACGTCTTCACGGGCTAATTTATTCAGGGACCCGAGAGCTGAACAAGGGCCCTTGAAAATACCAGAGATGAATATTTATTGCCTCCGGCTCTCAGTTGTTAGGGCCTTGATTTTCTTGCGGAAAAGGGATTTTCTTAATTTCTAATTTAGTTGGTAATAACTCAACTACACGTACATAAACACAAACAAACAAACAAACAACCACTCTCTCACAAAGTTTTGGCTGTTGGGAATCGGGTCCCCTCAGCTTCCTGGGGCCCCACCCTGCCTTTGCTCTTGCGCTCCTGCTCAGCACCTCTTTCACGTGGGAATGAGCTCTTGTCTGGAGGAAGAGCACACAATGGTACTTCCCACAATGCCACATTTACAGGCCCCCACACAGGGCCGGAGGAACAATCAGCCAATCAGACACTGTCAGGCCCAAGCCCCCGCGGACAATCATCAATTGTTGTCCAGGAGGAAGATAGGGGAAACAACAATCAGTCGCCTTGGTTAAGTAACTTTTCTTCATGTCTTTTTCTGCTGTTCTCTATACAATCAGGGTTCAACGCGTCAACTTCCTCCGCCAGGATCACCACAAGGGAATTACTATAGAGACAGCGTGACCAGAGAGAGAGAAGTTGGGGAGCGAAAATGAATCGAATAGAGGGAGAATGGAGGAAAAGATTAAAAGGTTTTAAGAGAGTCAGGAAGCGATGTGGTCAAATTATAGTGTGATTATTGTTGTGTAATTATATTGCATGAGAAGGAAACTAAAATAACTGCATTCAACTCATTGTTTGCACTCATTGTCCAATAACCGTTCACATAATGTAATACTACATTGTCGTTGCTATTAGAAATGGGTTGGTACTGCGGGGTATTTCAGGGTGAGTAAGGGGCCCAGGAGAAACACAAACGTCAGCTGACTCACAGGTTGAAGCCACGGCCACTCTTCTGGAAAAATGTGTCACTACCAGTGCACGATTATATTATTGTCCAGAAGTGGCACTGGTCCAGAAAACAGTGGGAGAAAATAGCTCTGCTTTCACTTCATCACAAATCTGTTTAAGTCTATAAATAACTGCAACTGTAATCCGTTATTGCACGATTACAAATATCAAAAGTAAAGTATACACACATTATATTACTATTATTTATACATTAATGTATAAAATGCATTTTAGTTGGTCAGATTGGAAACTCTTTTGACTACTTTATATACAGTATACTGTTGTGTAGTTAACCTAAAATCCAGATTAGATATTTGTATGTAATTCATTCTTTATCTACAGAATTTTCGGGATATATTCATTGGAGTAAAAATGACATTACTTTCCTCAAAAATTAGGTCATTTGAAGTGGCATTAAATGGTACTTGTACTAATAATGTACAAGTACCTCAGAACTGTATTTAAGTACAGTACTTTGTACTTAGTTATATTAAGTAATACGTCAAAAGTGTCACAAACATACACCTAAGCAGACATATTCATGGCGTGTGTGTTTCTCCTTTCAGTTCTGGAGCCTCCGGTGCTGCTTGACAATCTGACAGATTGTACCGTAAACGCCAGCACCTCAGTGAGCCTTAGCTGTCCCTCTGAAGGCATCCCACCCCCTACTATCACATGGTACAAGGATGAGCGTGCTCTGTCTCAGGGATCAGGTAAAACCAATACCGTAAACATGCAAACTGCAGCTGCATTCAGGAGTCTAAGAGTCTGTGCCACCATCTTTAGGTATTGTGATATCACTAGAAGATGGGACCCTCCATATTGATCGAGTCACAGCGGAGGACCAGGGCCTTTACACATGCCAGGCCACCAATGTGAGGGGATCTGCAGAGAGCTCTGCTTATATATGGGTAAACGGTAAGTGTCCGTCAACCAGTTGTATTTTTCTGCCTTTGATTGGCGGTGTTTACTACTTCTTACAGATAGGACAATTCCATATATGGGTATGTCTGATTGTCCATTGTTCCCAGTCCTGGAAATAGAGTGTGGCTGTACAGACATATAGTACAGTAAATCACATTGTTTTTGTGGATGTAGTATTTATACACAGGAGGCATGGTGTGTCCATTCTATTAATGGGAGATTATATGTCTGTTTATCAATTCTTGTGTAAACATTGATCACCTTAACATAATCCAAATGTGGGATACACTCCTTTTGTTCAGTGCTCCTCATTCAGACACACACACACAAACACATCAGTCATATGTCCGGTGTTGACAGGCCCCATGTGGTTCTGCTACCCCCCAAGTTTGAGCATCGTTCCCTGGCAGAAGGAGTGGCTCTCTGCATGTGTGTGTGTGTGTGTGTGTGTGTGTGTGTGTGTGTGTGTGTGTGT